AGAGAGAGAGAGAGAGAGAGAGAGAGAGAGAGAGAGAGAGAGAAAGATCTATAGGGATGGATGGATGGACGGACAGACAGATAGATAGATGAGAGGAATAGATGAGAGATGGATACAGATATGGATGGACGGATGGATATATATATATATATATATATATAGAGAGAGAGAGAGAGAGAGAGAGAGAAAGATCTATAGGGATGGATGGATGGATGGACAGACAGACAGATAGATAGATGAGAGGAATAGATGAGAGATGGATACAGATATGGATGGATGGATGGATGAAGGGAGGATCTTCGGGGCAGGCTAAGGAAGCCGCCTGTGGATCCAGTGCGGTCCCACCACGAGAATGGCCAGTTCATCCATCTGGTCCCAGAGCGTAGCTGCCAAACCGCTTGCACGCCGGCCCAGTTCTGGGTGGGATTGCGTGTGCTAAACACAGCCCCCACCTCCCATTTCTTTGTCGTCTCTGGAAAGTGTGGCTGACTCAGGCCCATCCTGTGGCCCTTCCCCCCCACCTCCCCCGCTGGGCCCTTGGGGAGGGGGAGCTACCAAGGTTAGCTGGCTGATCTTGAAAAGCTACATCGCTTCCTGCACGGCACGATTGGTAGGCTTTCAAAGGAGCCCCTTGGTTAAGGGCTGAACCCCGAATTCCCATGGAAAACTGGAAGTATGATGGTTGCGGGAGACCCCATGGCCCTCCCCCCCCGGACAGGTTTTGGATCCGGGCTCACTAGGGGTCCCTCCTGCCCCCTGCCACTTCCCCTGTCTGCTGCGCTTGCATGCCAGGGGACAAGCCCCCAACCCGCCTTAGTCAGGACACAGGAATGGCCTTCGCCTTAAATTTCTTGGGGCAGCTGAATCGGGGGGAGGGGTGGGGGTGGGCATCCCGCCTCAAAGAGAACAGCTCCCTCAAACCAGAGCAGCAAACCAGATACAATATGACAGAAGCACTGATGGTGTTCCCTAGTGGGGTCATGAGACGTCTGCAAAGAAACAGCCAAGGCCAGAGAGCACACAGGACCCCACAATCCTCCTCTTCTTCCTTCTTGCTTCTCTTCCTCCTCCTCCTCTCCGCAACCCCCTCCCTTCTAGCACTGATAATATCACCTCGTTGGGTCATGCAACGTCTCCAAGGAAACCACCAAGACTCAACCCAATCTCAGCTTTCCAAGGCTGGCCAATGATGTTTGTGGAGCCCCTAACCCTAAACCCCCCCAGCAACCGCTGCCAAGGGGAGGGGAGCAGGCTGCTTTCATCCAGCAAAACTCCGCGACCCTTAAGCTCCAATGTAGCAATGGGGTGATACGCTCTGCCCCAGGGCAGCCTGGGGAAATTGACATCTGGGGCTCTGCGTCCATTACGTCCTGGGTTAGAGAGCGGCGCATGAATTGGGAGCCGTGGTGGCACAGCGGTTAGAAAGCAGAATGGCAGGCAAACTGCCCACTTGCCAGAAGTTCGATCCTCGCCGCATCAAAGGTTGACTCGGCCTTCCGTCCTGCCGAGGTCGGCGAGACGAGGCCTCAGATGGTTGAGGGTAAGATGCTGACTGTGTGAGCTGCTGAGAGAGGGCCACAAAGCATCGTGAAGCGGTACATAAGGGCTTAGAGTGCTATGAAACTTGGGCCCGTTGGCAGGCAGGCAATTCCAGGAGCCCAGGAAGCTCTGACTGTGCCCACTTTGCCTTTCCAGGAGACATTGGGGGCCAGATGGGCTTGTTCATTGGTGCCAGCCTGCTCACCATCCTGGAGATCTTCGATTACCTGTATGAGGTGAGTGGCACCTGCGGGGGGGGAGGAGTCGCTTGGCGTAACTTCTTCGGGCAGAAACAGGGGATTCCCCAACTCCCCCGGTGAAGCAGATGGTGGCAGGGTAGGACCAGGCTGGGGATGCCAGATGGAGGTGCCAAGCGCCCTCTTGTTCTGCCCTTCTTCTTTCCGCCCACCTGGCTGGAAAACCACCGGCACCCTGCCACCCTGAGCCTGGCACCGTCTCTCTCTCTCTCTCTCCCCACCTTCCCTCGACTGCTATGCCAGCCCTTCTCCTCTTACGGGCAGGTGCTCCGGGACAAACTCTCCAGCTATTACCAGGGCAGGAAGGAAGCCCACCACAGCAACGGCGACAACCTGGTAGGGACCCCCTGCTCTGGCCACAGCGACCCACTGGCCTCCCTTTCCCTCCAGGAAGCAGAAACCCCCCTCCCTCCAACTGGGATCCAACTCCCTCCAATCCCTTTGGGGTCCCGGCAGCAACAGGGAAGTTTGGAGGGGGGGCTGTCTTGTCTGTGGGGTTCTTCCTGGGACACCCTCAACGCCCCCTCCCCGCTTTTCAACGCCGGCGCCCACCTGCCAGGGGTCTCGCCTCATTGCCGTTTCTCCGTCCCTGCCCCCTTTCTCTCTCACCCTCCCCTGCTTTCACCCAATTGCTGCCCCCACAACCCCGCTTCCATTTGGCATCTCATCTGCGCCAGGAGTACGTGGATCTCCCCCGCGGCCAGCTGCCCCCTCCACCCAGGTAGCGGTCTGCTCCCACCCACCCATTCACGTGTCTCGGGCTCCCTCCCTCCCCATCCTCAGCTTCGGGCCGAATGCCCCGGAGGGAAAGTGGGAGGTGGGAAACGGCGGGCCGAAGCTGGGGAGAGTGGCACGACACCCACCCACCCAACGCCCCACTTTCTCCCCGCCCTGCAGAGTGCCTGCCATCCGCTACGCGGCCACTCGGACAGCTTCGTGGGATACCCCACGAGTGGGCTACCTCGTCACGCCACTCTAGGCAGCTTCGAGGAGTTCGCCTGCTGAAGAGAGACCCCTGCCCCTCCCACAAGGACGGACAGACCCCTGGCCGGCTCCAGGACAGATGCCTGCGGGGGGCAGGATGCCCCACTGGGGACCTTCGCGCTCCGAGTGGAACCCGTCCAACGCTCATCCATCGGTGCCACGGGAGAGAACACGTGGCTGCGCGGCCCCACCCCAAAATCTATGTCTCTGTCATTAAAGGACCTCCTTGGGAACAACGTGGTTGTCCAACTTTTTGGAGGGTGGGAGAAATGGGGGGGTTTCCTATAGGAACAGAGGAGCGTGGGAAGCTAACCGATGTGGCAGGGGTGAAATCCAGCAGGTTCTGACAGGTTCTGTAGAACTGGTAGCGGAAATTTTGAGCAGTTTGGAGAACTGGCAAATACCACCTCTGGCTGGCCCCACAGTAGGGAGGGAATGGAGATTTTGCAGTATCCTTCCCCTGCCATGCCCACCAAGCCACGCCCACAGAATCGGTAGTAAAAAAAATTGGTTTTCACCACTGCGATGGGGGAATCCTTGCCCTCCCACCCCTTGGTGGGCATCTACAATTCAGGCCAGAGTGGGGAGAGGGCGTGAGGGAGCAGGCGAGGAAATCAGCACAGGAGGGAAAAGGAATAAAGCAGCATTTTATAGAATTCACAGCTATTCACATCAAAGAGGGAGCAAGTTCTGATCCTGGCTGGTCCCCTCCCCCAGAAGGATTTGCCCCCCCCCCCGCAGCTGCTCTGGGAAGGGTTGGGAAGGAAGGAGGGAGGGAGGAAAGGTGCCACATGCCCCGCCCCAGCCCTCCGCCGCCACAGACCATCAAGGGGGGCAGAAGTCAGTGAAATACGGATGTTGTAGGGCGTCTTCAGCCGAAATCCGGTGCACTGGGTTGCATTTCAACAGGTTCTGCCAAGCCAAAGAGGAAAGGAGAGCAGGGACCCTCGAAAGAGTCCAGCAGGAACAGAGAGACCCCCACCCTGCCACGGCCAGAAGGGGGGAGGGGCGAGGTTGCTGGGAACTCACCTGTAGCAGGTCCCGTCCCGTTGTACTCAGTTTTGGCACTACGTTGACCAGCGACGTCGTGGCAGGATACATGGGGTAGGGCTGAAAAGGACCGGGCAAGGTGAGGTGTGGGTTTTCAGGCCCAGAGGTCAGCTGGAAGCCCCCACCCCAAGACCCAAACCACCCCTTTTGTGGGGAGGGCCGCCTCCTGACCTTGTAATCGGGGAGTTTGGTCATGCCGGGCCACTGCTCCTCCGTGGGGGTCCCCAGCAGCGTGGAAGAGTCAAGGATTGGGGGGAGCATTCACCTGTCATTGGCACCCCGGGACCCCCTTCCCAACACAGCCATTCCCCCCCCCTCTTCTTGACTCTTAACGTTTCTCCGCCCCACCCAGGGCCAAGGATATCGGAAGATGCGCTTCAGTTGGTCGTCGACGTCGTTGCCCGGGAAGAGGGGGCGCCCCGCGTTCGCCAGCTCTGGAGGGGAGGGGGAAGAGTCAGAGTCCCAAAACGGACCCCCTCCTCCCTCCATGCTTCCCAAATGGGACTCCCTGCCCCACCCACGACCTCGGCCTCACCAGCAAAAATGCAGCCGGCTGACCACATGTCAATGGACGTGGAGTAGAGCTTGGCGCCAAAAAGGACGTCAGGGGGGCGATACCAGAGGGTCACCACCTGTGGGGGGACACCCCGCCCCCCCCAGTCGATTGGAGCGCAAGGTCAGGGAGCAGAAAACCCCGTCCCCTTTTCTCCCAAACGGGGACAGAGAATAGAGCCTCCAGAACGATTCTGCAGAGAGGCCGGGAATGGGTCTCCTCCTTTATCAGGGGGTTGGACTGGATGACCTCTAAGGTCCCTCCAACGCTTTTATTCTGTAAGGGTCTGTTTGAGCAGGGGGTTGGACTAGATGACCTCCGAGGTCCCTTCCAACCCTGTGATTCTGTTATATTCTGTTAAATGCCACCACCCCCTGCCACCCCGATCCCGGAACAAACCATTCCCCCATGGAGCTCCAGGCAGGAGCACCGTTGGGGGGGGGTTTCCTTCTTGGGGGTGCAAGGGTACCATCAGGGAATGCACCCCCCCCCCAATCTTCTCTGCCAAGGGCTCTGCTCACCTCCGCCGAATAACAGCGCACCGGGATGCCAAAGGCCCGCGCCAGCCCGAAGTCTGCCAGCTTCAGCTCCCCGTTCTGCCCCCAAGGAAAAACCATCAGTTAGGACAAGGGGGCGGGGGGAGCACGCCAGAACGCCCTTCCAGCTTGCAATTGGAGGAACGACCCCCTCCCCAAATGCCCAGTGATTCGGCTGAGCGGGAGAAGCCTTGGCACAAGGATGGATTTGGTCCAATCTTTGGGGGGTTCCTGCCCGGAAAATGGTCTCCCTCCCCAAATCGGGCAGAGGGAAGGGAGGGAACCCCAGGAGGAGGTGGGGGGGAAACGGGACCTCCAGATTTCGGTGCCAATTCTGCCACACACACACACACACATACCAGAGAGAGCTTTCCTGGCACCAGGCAGCTCTCCCCTGTCCCATGGAGAGGGGAAGAGCTGGCAAAGGAAGACCCCCTCCGTGTTAAACTCACCCGGTTGATGAGGAGGTTCTGCGGCTTGAGGTCCCGGTGGAGGACGTTCCGACTGTGGCAGAAGCCGAGGCCCTTCAGCAGCTGGTACATGAAGGACTGAGGGGGGAGGGGAGGCAGAATGCCTGTCAGCCGGCCTGGTGTTTTCGAGGCAGTCGGAGGTCCCACCAAGCACCCCCCTCCCGTCTTACCTTCACAATCTCCGGGTCCAAATCGCCATTGCAGCTGTCGAAATACTTCTTCAGGTCCTGCAGGGGGCACCAGGTTCAGCGAAGGTGGGGGGCAACCACCACCCCATCGCATCTTATAACGGGGGGGGGGGGCACAATATGGCCACTTCCCCCTCCTTCCATTTCAAGGGGGGCAGAATTTAGGGGTGAAGCTGTTTGCAGCGAAACATAAGTCCTCGAGTTACGACAGTTCGCTTAGCAACCGTTCAGCGTTCCAAGGGTGTTGGCAAAAGGCAACTTTCGCCATTAGGACCGTTGGGGTGTCCCCATGATTAAAATTCATGGCCACCCAGTTCATACTGCTTAACGATGTTCGCCAGGGAGCGAGGTCACGCAATTCGATTTTGGCGACCGTCGGAGAAGCAGTAAGCCTGATTTGCTTAAAAAAACGGGTCCCTGAGGTTGATCCACCGCAGGGATTTGCTTAACAACGGTGGCAAGAAGGGGCGTAAAGGGGGGCGAAACATACTTCACACATGTCTGACTGCATGTTCTGTGCCATCAATGCCGCCAGCCCCCACAGTAAGGTACCTTCCCCCTCTCCTTCCAGGCTCTTTGGAGTGGGTCACCCTTGCGGGGAGGGGGTGGGGGTTGAGCCTGGGATGGCCGGGGTGGGTGCAGGAGAGTGGGAAGAGGGAGGGGGCATGGGGGAATGTGGGGTGCCAGCTGCAGAGTTGGGGGGGGGCAAGACCACCACAGCCAATCAGGAGATTTGCATCTGGGCAAAAGGGAGATTTGGGAGGCAGGGGTCTCCTTTTACGCCCATCACCTTACTTGGTCACAGAATTCGAAAACCAACGTCAGCTTCTTGTCGCTGTGCAAGACATCATGCAAGCTGCAAGGGGGGAGGGGGGAAAGTCTGGGCGGGGGTCTTCGCCAGCATCCCCTCCCACTGCCCTACTGAACATGGGGCCCATCAAAGCAGTGAGTCCCAGACACTTGCAGGGGCGAGGAGGCCTGGCTGGATGGTACCTCCGCCTGGCTTCCAACCAATTCTTTGAAACCCCCTCCCCTCAAAGGAACACACTTTGTTTGCCCCATGCCCAGCGGGTGGTATACAAGGTCCAAGAGGCAAGACCTCACCCACCCACCAACTCCTCTGGAAGGGGGCTAAGAGAGCAGCTCTACTCCCTTTGTCGCCCTGACATGATCCTGGTAGGATGAACCCTTGCCCTCGCCTCCCCCAAAGGGGGGATCCCCTTGAAGCCCCCTCCCCACAAACTCACCGAACAATGTTCTTATGTTTGAGTTCCTTCAGAAGGCAGATCTCCCGCAGCGCGGAGCTGGGGACGCCCTAAAATACGGCACGGGCGAGATCAGAGTGCAAAGCCCCCTCCCCTTTTAAGGACAAGACTTCACCCACCCAAGAACCTCGGGGATTCAAGGAGACGGGGTGCGGGCCCGATTCCGCGGGGGGGGGGAGCGGGCATCCTGCAGAGCTGTCAATGCACCAGGCTGCGGGGCCGGAGGGCGTGGAGGCGACCCCCTCCCCACGCAGGGCAGGACAAGCAGCCCCCCACCCACTTCTCCCCCCAACCCCCACCCCCGCCTTGCCTCGTCGTCGTCGTCCAGCCGCACCCGCTTCAGTGCCACGATTTCGTGGGTCTCCCGGTTCTTGGCTTTGAAGACGGTCCCGTAGGTGCCTAAGAAGGGTGGCGGGAAACATCGCTCAGAGACCCCCGAAGCCCCCTCCCCTCCCTCCTCTCCTCTCCTCCTCGCTATACACGGAGCTCTCTAGGGAGGGGTCTCTTAGGGCTAAGAATCCCACCCCTCCATCCTCCCCACGACCCCCCCCCCCCGTGGGTGGACGCCCACCCTCTCCGATCTTCTCCAGTTTCTCGTATTTCTGCATCGCTCGCTCCCACGCGAGGAATGCCGCGCGACCCCAGCCCAAGCCGGCCGACCCTCCCTCTTTCCCCCGGCGTAGTTCCCAAGATCGGGACTGCAACTCCCGGCATGCCTCACTCGGCGGGCGGAGCCGCCGAGGCCGCCTCCTGCGAAAAGACTACGACTCCCGGCAGGCATCGCGCCCAGGCCAGGCTTCGAGCCGCGGTATTCGGGCCAGCGCGCAAAATCATAGAATCTCAGGGCTGGAAGGGATCTCGGAGGTCATCTAGTCCAACCCGCTGCTCAAACAGGAGACCTGCCCTAGACCATTTCACGCGATCCAAATTCAGACGCTTGGCAACTGATTCCTATTTACGACCGCCCTTGTCACTAATCTGGTTTTGCGACCTTCCGACCACCAAAGTCAATGGGAGCTCGAGTTAAGGCCGCTTCGCTTAAGGACCACGTTACTCCCTGAATCACCGCAAGGATTCACTTAGCAACGGGCCCCATTGGGGGGGGGGAAGAATGTATGATCGTAAGTCGAGGACTATCTGCCTTCGAGAGGGAGGGGCTTTCTCAGCCGCGGGAGGGGCAGGGTTTGCCCCGCCGTGCACGTGGCGAAGGCTGGGCTTCATCGGCGCATGCGCGGCTAGAGAGAGAGAGAGAGAGAGAGAGAGAGAGAAGGTCGGAATCGGAGGGGCGGGCGGCAGCGGGTTCGATCCCTGCTTCCCTACGCTGTCGGATCGGGTGAGTGGCGGTCGCGGGAGCGAGGACCGGGGGCGTCCAGATCGGGAGTCTGGAGTCGGGCCCCGCAACGACGGAAGTCTGGGTCCCCGGAGAAAGGTGCCAAACCCCCTCCTCTTTTTGTGTGTATGCATTGCGGACCCCCGACCCAAATGCGTCGGAGATACGGCGGACGCTCCTCCGCGGAGCAAATCCCGGAGTTACGACCCCCGGCGGCAAATCGGGCGCGTGACCGGCTTGCAGAAATTCCCCCTCCCCACGCCCCTCCCCCGAATTTGGGAAGGGAGGGCGTGGGAACGGTGCGGAGGCAGCCGGGCGGGTCCGGGAGGGGCTGGCTTTGGAAGCCGCGGGCAGCGCACCTGTCCGGGAGGCGTTGCGTAAGGCGGGTCCCTCCCCCCTTCCCCGGGCTGCCCCCACCCCACTTTTGTCCGGAGGGGATGCATGGAAAGCAGCTCGAACCGGCCCACCCCTCCCCCTCCCCTTCCCCTCGTCTTCCCTGGGATGCCCGGACCGAACCAGCTGAGTGTCCAGCTGATCTCGCTACTGGTGAAGGGTGCTGGGAATTGTAGTTCCGCAGCCCCCCCCCCGCCCCCCACGGGCTTCCAGGAATGTTTGTGGAGGAGGGAGCCAGGGGTGCTTGATAGACCCCTCCCCCCTCCTTCAGAGCCAGATTTGTTCCGCTGGTGCTGCTGGATTTGGGACTCGCTCCCCCCCCCAGGTTTGGGAGTCCCTTGGCAGACCGCGGGGGGAGGGGGGGTTCCATTATGAGTCTCTGCTGCGGGGAGGGGGAGGCTGCAGTCTGGAGGGAAGGGGGTCCTATCCTCCCCCCCCCCCCCATTTAGTGCAGTTCCTGCAAGTGGCATTTGCCCCCAGGGGTGAGCCAAGGGTCAGCTCTGTTTGTCAGCTCTGCCACCTCCAGATTTGGGGCTGGGCCGGTTGCAGCTCAGGGCTACAAACCAACCGCCCTGTGAGCCCCCCCTCGTTTCCACCCCCTCCCCAAGAGAGATGCTTTTGATTTCTCAGAGATGTTGCAACATCTTTTTCATCCTCCCGCCGCACGTCACTTTCCTCTACTGCCGTTGCTGATGCCAAAGCACTCTGGGCATCTCAGAACTGGCCTCAGTCCCTTCCTCCTCTTCTGAAGCCCCCCCCCCCCCCCCCCGGGGCCCCCCTTCTTACCCCCCCCCCTGTCCCCCACCCCCCCCCCCTTCCTGCCCTCCCTCAATCTGAACCCCCATCGGTGGTTGGCTCTCTCGGGCTGATGCGGGGGGTTTCACATTCCCTGATCTCCCCCATCAAGGCCTCCAGACGTCCTCAGGAGACACCCCCCCCTTTTCCTCCTCGCAGGCTAGGCTCTTGCAAGGATGGGGTCGCTCTTGAGGTCCTCTAGTCCAGCCCTGGCTCAGAGAGGGATTCCAGGCAAAAGCAGCATGGCAGAATAGAGTGGAGTGGAGTGGAATGGAATGGAATATGGAATATGGAATATGGAATATGGAATATAATTAAATAGAATATAGAAGAGAAAATAGCAAATAGAATAGAATAATAGAATATGGAATAGCTAGAAGGGGCCTTGGAGGTCTTCTAGTCCAACCTCCTGCTCAAGCCGGACCGCGGCCCCGTCAAGAAGAAGTGCCCACATGCAGGGTCTCTCTCTGGGGCTGAGCTGCTGTGTCCATTCAGAGACGTCCTCTGGCAATTGAGGGGGGTCTCCGATTGAGCCAGGCGGGCTCTGGGTCAAGCAGGGCAGGGCCCACAGCAGGATTCGGCTTGGTGCCCCGACCATCCTCGGTGCCTCTGCTTCTCGCAACGTGGAGCAATTGCTTTTCTGAGTTCAAAATTGCTTGTCATCTACAGGTAGTCCTCGAACGTATGACCGCAATTCAGCCCAAGATATATGTCGCTAAGCGAGACGTTGTCTAACAGAGTTTTGCTCCGCCTTTGTTGAGTGAGTGACTGACTGACTGCAGTGGTTCAGTGAATCACAGGGTTGTTAAACGAGTCGGGCTTCCCCTTGACTTGTCAGAGGGTCGCTAACAGAGACATGGCGATGTCGTAAGTAGGAGCCGATCATCAAGCATCCAAATGTAAATCACATGACTGTGGGGGGTGCCGCAAGAGTCGTAAGTGTGAAATAAGATCCTAAGTCACTTTGATTCCCATGCCGTTGTAACTTTGAACGGACATAAGTGAACTGTCGTAAAGCGAGGATTACCTGTAATGATAAATAGGAAATTGGACCCTTCCAACTCTTGTGATTTTGTGAAGCTGAAAGGGTTTCTTGCTCAAGCAGGGGGTTAGACTAGATGACCTCCAGGATCCCTTCCATCTTTGTCATTGTATGATTCTGTCAGGGTCTCCTGCTTGAGCAGGGGGTTGGACTTGATGACCTCTGAGTATCCTTGCCAGCTCTATTCTGATTTATTTATTTATTTTTGGGGGGGATAGCGAGAAAACGGCTGGCTTCCCGGCTTTCCTTTTGCACAAGGTCGCCAAGGCCAGGGCCAGAGGCTGCATCGGTCCAGCAGCCACTAAAAGGAGGGGGCAGTGTCACGGGAGGGGGGGAGTGTCTGACTCACTGATGCGCCCGCAAACAGCTAATTCTGGCTAACCAGTGAGTCAGATCATCCAGAAGCCAAGTTCAAATTTTGGTTGCGTCGGTTCGGGCCCCAGGGGGGAGGGGGGAAGCCCTTCTCCTCGATAAGGAAGTCCTCAACTTAACGATTTCAGTTTTTCAATTTCAATTGAATTCAATTTATATGCCGCCCCACTCCGAAGATTCAGGGCGGCTCACAATACATTTAAATGGTTCCTAAAGAGTCCATTCCGCATTGCCATGGCCCTGAAAAAAAAGTCAACATTCAGAGGTTTAGCGAGCGGTTCGTATTTACGACGGTCACAATGCCCCCAAAGGAGGGGGCTCACGTGATTCCGAATCTGGGAAGCCAGATTCCACTCACGAACCAGGTGACTCAATTGACGACTGCAGGGGATTCGCTTAATGACCGGGATCAGAAAGAGCGTTGAACGGGGCCAAACTCCCTGAATCTGTGTCTCCCGTAACGACAGGTATGTTAGGCTCAGCTGCGGTCATAAGACAAGGATGCCCCAAACCTCCGATGCACCGGTGTGATGGCATCCGCTGGCATTGCTAATGTGCTGGGATGGGGGGGCAGGACCTGATCCATCTCCTGGCGCATCCATCCCTCCCCCTCCAAGACCCCCTCCCCAATTGTCCCTCCCCCCACCCCCCCGGGATTAACCCAGCACTGTCTGGCCTTCTCTTTCAGCCTCCTCCCACACACACAGTTTTCCCTCCTTTGAACTGGGGCCTCAACAGGATTTGGGTGGGTGGGTCCCAGATGGGGCAGGAACACCTCTTTGGGGGTCCTTACTGGGTCCCTGGGCATGAGGGAGGAAGAGGGAGCTAGATAGCCACAGACCCCTTCCCTAGGGAGCCAGGCGTCTAACTTTGGACCTTTGTTGGCCTCTGGAACTACTCGCCACTGGATGTTAGCAGCTGCAGGGTTTGAGTGCGGTGCTTGGAAGTAGCTGTTACTTGCCCTTCCTCCCTCCTTCTCTCCACATCGGGATCTATCCTGCCGGGGGTCTTTTGGGGCAAGGGTTGCGTAAAAGAATCACAGATTTGGAAGGGACCTCGGAGGTCATCTAGTCCAGCCCCTTGCACCCAGTTGGCGCTGGGCATCCTATCAAGAGGATGGGGGGGGTCAGTTCAAGCCGCGAATGGATTTGAGGTGGGGGCCTCCCATGCCTCCCATCTTTTTAGAGACAGAGCTGGAAAGTTTTCGGCATTCATTTGGGGATCGCAAGTGGAGGGGCGGTGGGTGGGCCCTCGGGGATAGCTGGCTGAATCATGGGGTCAGACTGGAAGACCTCCAAGGTCCCGTCCAAGCGTGTTGTTCTAATTTGAGGAGGGGGTCTCACCGGCTCCACTGAATCTGTGGGGTGGGGAGAGGGTCAAGAGAAGATCCAAATGCCCTCCGGGGTCCAGCCAGGCTCTGTGGGGAGAAGGAACAGAGACCCCACACCTCCCCATTTCTTTTTAAGCCCCTGCCTGGAGGGAACTCTGAATGGGGAGGGGTCTCAAGGGGTGGGCTTTCTTCATATACCCCTGTGTATTTGTGGGGAGGAACAAGCAAAAAGAGAAGCTTGGTGCAGTGACTTTGAAAATATTGGTGGTCCTTGACATACGACAATGCTTCATTTAGTGACCGGCACTGCAAAGTGGGGCTTACGACCCCTTTTTCAGCCAATCAATCAATCACAGTTGGAAGGTACCTCGGAGGTCATCTAGTCCAGCCCCCCCTTCCCCTCGCTCAAGCAGGAGACCCTAGACCATTTCACATCATCAAAACTCAGAAGCTTGGCTTCTC